GCATGACAACAACAACAACAACAACAACAACAACAACAACAACAACAACAACAACATTAAAGGGGGAACATTAACAGCAACAACCACAATACAGAGAAAGCAATAGTATATTACAATCAGATAACAAAACCTAGTTACTTTTTACCAACCTCTGAGCATGGTTCCTGGCACTCTGACATGCCACAGGTGGTGTGAGATGATGAGATAGAAGATACCGATGACCACCATGGGAACGAGGTATAGAGCGATAACCAGAAACATGTCGTAGATCATCTTATTTTCCAAATTAGTAGCACACATCTTCAGGTACTTGCTCAGTTCCTCTTGCTGCAGAGAAAGCCAAAAGGGTATTAAAGTTGAGAGAGAGGTGTGTGTGTGTGTGGAGGGGGGAGGGTGTTGGTAAAGGTTTTAGGTGGAGGGAGGAGGTGGAGTGTGTTTGAGGGATGCGGGTGGAGGGAGGAGTTTTAGTGTGTGTGTGTGTTTTGGGGGGGGGGGGGGGGTGAACAGTTGGAGGGATGGAGTATGGGTGAGGGTTGTGGGTAGAGGGAGGAGGTGGAGTGTGGATCAAGGTTAAGAACAAAGGGAGGGGGTGAGGGGAAGGGATAAAAAAGAAAAAGAACAATGATGAAAGGGGTTAAGATAAAGAGGAATGGGAAAGATTTTGAAAAGCAAAACTAGAAGAGGGCTTTGAAAGGAGGCGGGGCTGGGGCAGCGGACTGAGTAACCCCGCGATGTCGTGAATCGCCATGATAAAGCAGGGGAATCAACGGTTGCGTTACCAATTGAACACTTAAAAAAAAAAAATCAAAACTTCGTCGTTGCAGCAAAATCGAAAGTTAATCATATAAGGTAGAGCGCAGCTAGGCTTCATTCCCGTATTTACTATTTAAGCTGAGCCGTAGACCTTTATTTAGAATTGTGTTATGTTGAGTCTATAGAAGTAGCCCGTCCCTTTGCTCCCGTTTCCTGTATAAATATGACCTATTGAATTGTTTAAACATCACGAATAGAATTATTACTGGCAGCTCTTGAAAGCGAAAGACATTAATATCCTCTTTAACTTTGTCTCCAGTAATTTCTTCACCTTTCATCCCCCCCCCCCACACCACCTTTTTCTCTGATTCATCTTCTTTCTCCTCCGTTTTTCTCGTTTCATCTTTCTTTTGTCTGCCTTCCTCATTTAGAAAAATATCTCCTTTCCTTCCCAGGGTCTATCTGTTCTGGTATGGCATCAGTAACAGTGACAGTGACAAATTTTGTTCCTGTAGCCGTGATTAATTGTTTTGGTCATTTATAATAAAACTGGTGTTACAAAGCCAATATTATGCATTCAAGCACTCACATAACTAGAAAGTAAGTAAATATTTAGCGCTGAAACACCACCGCCCCAAAGATATTCTCAGCTATTTGGTATCAAGTTGGGCAGCCACACCAGGCTACAACCTTTAGATTTGGGCAGCTGGGAGAGTTTTGAAGTTGCTTCATTCACTTGTTCCTGTTCTATCGCAGACTGACTTTATTTTCAACGCATTGCCTCCAGCTTAAAATGAACTTCATTTACCTAGGTAAGATACCTCGTCTCATTCAATACTATTCTGCTTTATGCCCCCCCCCCTCCCCCCACACACACACACATGTTTCCTCCTCCTTTTCCTCCTTCTCCTTTTTTCTCTTCGTTCACAATCACTTCTGTCTCGCCTAACTCATTCTTCTCCCCCTCTCCCCTCAGGTACTTATAGTTTATCATCAATATTGTCATTATCACGCTCTTCACCTTTACTCGTCAGCGTCATTCTCCTGCTTCTCATTGTCATTATTATACCTGAGGTAACCCCTGTGTAACAGCGCTCCCAGCTCGGTGGAAAAGAAGCTGGCCTGCAGTGCAACCATTCCGATCCAGGTTTGAATTCTGACGTCAGTTATAGGGAGATCATTCATCGTTCCCAACAAGTTTAGCTATGTACTATTGGAGTAGGACGAGAGACCGGAAGGCCCGTGTGTTAATTACATGTTGAAAAAGGTACCACGGTCTAGTCCGTCACTTAATAGTGAACGCGTTAGAAGCAAGCTTTCTCAGCAACCACTTGCCGATTTAAACCAAATTTTAGATGATGCTTATGTGCACCCTGGACTTTCTAAAAACACATCTCAGGTACTTAATTAGTGACTGTTTAATCATTTACTTTTGCTCATTAATGCAGCACATTTAGTGTTCACAGTACATTTACTACGCAAAGGTCAGAAATATAAACTTTTGGTTTATGAAAACTGGTTAAAAGACAAATAAAAAAAGATAAAATAAAAGACTCACGTGGAACGTGTTGATGACACTGTTGTGGAAGTTTGGCGAGGCGAGAGCGCCACTGATGACCCAGATAATGACAATGGTGACCGTGACCTTGCGCATAGTGATGCGGGACTTGAGAGGTCGGCAGATGGCGAAGTAGCGCTCCACAGCGATTGCACAAAGAGTCAACACAGACACGCTGACCACTGTGATCTGAGGAATGAACAAACATGTTTTCTTAATTGTTTACTGCTTCTGTAGCCCTTAAAAATAAAATGGAAAAAAAGTCTAGAACCCTTAGGCTAATGTCTCAACTACAAAACAACCCCCCCCCCCAAAAAAAAAACAACAACAGAAAAGTGTCACGACACCGTGGAATCAGGTGCTCGTCATTTTTTGTGCATGTGGAGTTATCGATATCATCTTAAACCTGTCTTGAACAGAAGTGAAGATATTTGTGATTGAAAGAGGTAAGTTCACTTTTTTATGTGGTAAAAATAGCGAGAAAACGACCGCCAAAGTATGGTAACTTAAATACCCAACGAGTCATTGTCAACTAAAAATTACATCTTTTGAGCTTTTGATCATCTTTTTTTTCTTCAATATAATTCACATGGAATGTGTTTTTATTTGGACAAAAAGGGTTGAACAAAAAACTAAAAGTTTGATTAAAATTGCGAAACTGGTGGGGAAAATGCCTGTTTGTTCAATTTTTTTTTGGGGGGGGAACGAGCGCCTGATTCACCACAAATTACATCGCAAATACTTTCGTAACCAATACCAACTTTAAGTTTCGCTGCGTAACCCCCCCCAAAAAAATTTTTTTTTAAATTAAAAAAATCCTGTCTTACCTTAACTTGTAGATGACACTACTCGATTCAATAACATAAGTTAAGGACCATTTGCAAAAACTCTGAGTGGTCTTCTTGAGTCGACCTGCACGTGAGCGTTCTTGGACTGATCCAGTGGCTTGATGGCGCTGCCTCAGACGGACAATGACAGAGTGTGACACTGCAAGCCTTCTGGCAACTTCTGAGACTCCAACCCCATCCTGCAGCCATGCCATAGCTGTGGCACGATCAAAGTCTTTCGTCTTCGTGGCATATTGATGCGATACTAGATTTTGCGCAAACGGCGGCTTATATTGCCACCAAATTTAGCACAGTTCGAGACCGTACGTCCGTCTTTGATAGGCACTAGACATTTTAACTGAGGAATGTCCGTGGTGTCTCACAAAAGTCGATAAAAAACAGCAAACTTGGCTAAAATTCCCCAAGGATTTTCATGCTGCACGTGGTGGTTTGGCCACTTTAGGACGCTTTGCAGTAGGCATTGATAAAACATTCACACTTTCAGAGCAAAAAACTTTAGAAACATTCCTTGAGAGAGAGAGAGAGAGAGAGAGAGAGAGAGCCAGACAGACAGACAGACAGAGAGACACACACAGAGAGAGAGAGAGAGAGAGAGAGAGAGAGAGAGAGAGAGAGAGAGAGAGATCAAAGAAAAGAAAAAAGAAGAACATTTCCTTAAAACGCCAAAGAACCCCAGGTCAAGAGCATGGTGCAGATACTCGATAGCTTTGAGAGAAAGAAGAATTCGAGAAAAGAGATAAGTAGAACTAGGACCTGCCAATTGAGCAGAAATAGGGAAGCAAGTGGGTTGGTTCATGAATGAGATAGGGACGGAAGAGGGGGAGAGTGGATGAAGGAAAACATTTGAAAGCTCTGTCCCTCTGTCCATCTGTCTGTTTGTCTGTCCGTGTGTCTGTCAGTCTCTCTTACTCTCTCTCTCTCTCTCTCTCTCTCTCTCTCTCTCTCTCTTTCTGTCTGTCTGTCTGTCTGTCTGTCTGTCTGTCTGTCTCTCTCTCTCTCTCTCTCTCTCTCTCTCTCTCTCTCTCTCTCTATCTATCTATCAATCTATCTGTTGCCTCTTTCTTTGTCTCTCTATCTTTGTCTCCCTGCCTGTCTCCCTGTCTGTCTCCAAGTCTGTCTGTCTGTCTCAGTCTGACTCTCTCTGGCTCTCTCTCCCTCCTCTCTCTCTCTTTCTTTCTCTCTCCCCCCTCTCTCTCTCCCTCCCCCCCCCTCTCTCTCTCTCTCTCTCTCTCTCTCTCTCTCTGTCTCCCTCTTTAAATTACGGAGCGAAAGAAGAACAAAAGATCAGAGCGTTACTCAAATAAAAGTCAATGAAAGTCGAGACTGATCATGCCACAAGCAGGGCTTTGATGCGAGCATGGATCGGTAATCCTTATTTGCTATGGCGGGCAATTTCGTCAGATCAGTCAGGACGTCGGCAGTTTATGTCGCTATTTTTTAACCTACCACGGCCCTGTGCTGCCTAAACCACGTTCCATCAACCCACTCAAATCCATTCTTTCCTATTTCACTTTCCATTTACCAGTCCTTATTAATTTTCACAACCCGTAATGCACTTGAGATATTTGCACTTGAGATATTTACAGGCCTAAACGCTTTTACTTTCTACGAAAAAGAAGGAAAACTCAGAGGAAAGGTATTGATTACTAAAACCTCCAAACCGTGCAATCTACGAACCAGTCAGAGACTAGACAGGGAACAAATACTAGAAAGACTGATCAAACTAAGACTTGAAGATCGAGTTAAGAAACCCAAGATAGAGAGAAGAAAGTTAAAAAAGACAAAACAATTCGTTATGTCTGGGTACTAGATCTACTTTTCCCCGAAGGTGCGCACGATGCGATTCTGTCGAAATCTAAAGGTTTTAATTCTGTTTGTGGTTTATTTCGATAAGGAGATATCTTCTGGCTAAATGGAAGCTCCATTAGAATCGCAAATTTTGAAGAGGTGCGTGAATTGTTCCCATGTTCCTTCATGCTACTCTTAAATATCTTCAACGTAATTTACTCGTTCTCGTCGATTGTTAGATTTCCTTTTGTATCTTAAAAAAAGAATGTGTAACACTGTGACCTCTCCCACCGCTTTAACTCATGTCACGTTTTCGTTTCTTTTATCAAGCTTTAGTCTTTGGTCCAGTTTCAGTCTTTGGTCCTGTACTCAGAATAATGTACGGCTTGCATTATAACCATTCTTGTATTATAAAAAAAAACCCACCCACACTAAGCCTCACATGATTCGGAAGTGTCTTTTTTTTCTTGGCTAAGAGAAACTACGTATTCAACGTTAACCATCAGGGCTCCAAAACCAATATCTTCCTAACCCTCAGAAACAAGAACCAGAGCTAAGCAGTTACAAAAGTATGTAATTAATTCTCTTTGGGATATGACTCAAAAGAGAACAATTCTGAACTGTAAGGACATGGGTTCGAATCCCATCAAGGGCCCGATGTTGTTTTTATGGAATATATTTCTTACACGAATTTTCCTTGCTTCATCCAAGTAGGAGTGGGTACGCTCCCAGCTATATACAGAGAAATATCTTGTCAGTCTGTTAGTATTTGGGCACTTAATCGGCTTCTTCCACTGTATACTTCCGGGGTAGCCGAGAATGCTTCTGGGTCTTCTATGGTCTGTGGGGGGGGATAATAATTGCAAAGTGCACCACGTTGAAAATAAAAATGAGTAATTAATTAGCCCTCTTAAATACGATCCCCTCAAAACACTCCCACACCCAGAACTTTGAACAGGTATGTTTTATGTGTCTACCCTTAGAGGCAGGCCTATATGCTGTAGACCAGGCTCCTGCAGAAAATGAAAGAAGTCTTTAAAATGCCCCTAAAAATAAATTGTAAAAAATAAACAGATTTTTTTGAAGTAAAAAAAAAATCAAACTCCGTTAAAATGAACATCAGACTGATTCTCAAGTTACTCACAATTGTTTTTCCTAATGATGTTTTCATCGTCAGGGATAATCCATGCGGTCAACAAGGAGTGAAAAATAAATACGAGATACTCGTACGTTTATTTTTTTAAAGCGAAATTAAAGATATCACGTCTGTCTCAGATTGAGCTGAAGCAAAGTGGAAAGGGGGGGGGGGGGGAAGACAACCGAAGTTCACGAAACTAGCCTCACATTCCAGAGTGACACTAAGTAGGCAAAAGAAAAACGGAGGGAATGACCTAATAGAGCATAGAAAAATTGCACCGTAATCAGACTTTTCTAAGAAAAAAAGATTATGGAAAGCAATGATATCGCTCCCACCCGCCACACTTCTCTCTTAATTAATTCTCAAACGGGCATGCAGTGTGTCGCAATTGAAGGGGCAAGGAGGCGAGCCGGAATAACAGCTTTATTCACCACCGTTTCTTTTTTTTCAAGTGGCCGCTGCCTGTCATCTTCTTTTTCTTCTCGATCGCATCACACTTGAAGTCTGGTATCAGTCATAAATTGGGCCGTCCTGCTTAGTTCATCTGTCGGCCCATGTAGCTTCTCTTGTAGCGTCAGTGGGGTTGGCCACGTTTCCTGTCTCAGGGCCCTGTGTGTCTTGCAGTGCTGAAGGATGTGTTCAACAGTTTGGTCCGCCTCTCCACACTGGCATTTTGGTGATTGTACTAGTTTAAAACATTTGTACATATGTTGTCTAAGTCGTGTGTGTTGTGTCCTTGGTCTAAAGATAACCACTTGTTCTTGGCCGGACAGCTCATTGTAGCCATCTGGTGTCTGGGGTGCTTTAAATAGTGTATTTATAATCGTTTTTATTTCTGTGTAGTTAACGCTGTTGTCTGGTTGCTCTTTCTGAGCTCCTAGTTTGGCCATCCTGTCTGCCTGCTCATTTCCTAAGACACCACAGTGTGATGGAATCCACTGCAGCATGATCCTCAGACATGGGATGTCCTCAATTCCTTTTCGTAGCCTTGGTAGTTTGCCGAAAGTGATTGCCTGCAGTACTGACATGGCATCTGTTAGGAATACTACTTGGCTTTGGGGGTCTACCACATTCTTGATGATGTTTGCTTCTTGTATTGAAGCCTCCGTCTCTGCCCTGTAGTTTGTACAATGTCGCCCTGTTGGGACTGCCTCTGCTTGTCGTCGTACATTTGGGAACTGTACGTACACTCCGGCTCCTCCTCTTTTCACACCATCAGTTTCAGATCCGTCTGTATGGATCCTTATCCATGCTTCTCGTGGGTATCTTTGTTCAAGCATGGAGAGAGTGAGGGACTTCTTGCTCAGGTCGCTGTGGTCATCTTTTGGGGTGAACATAGGCATGGACGTGTGTATAATTATGTTTGTGTTTTTCTTTACCCATGATGGTGCCTCTGGGGTATGGTTCAGCATGTT